ATACATTTTTATATTTGAACATAAGTATTATATTATATGAAGTTATAATGTGACAAATTCACTGTAAAATAGTCATTTTTCCCCTGCTTTAATAATTTTTATGTAGAGTTTTTTATAAAATGAGTTAAAGTTGGTAAAATGGAGAAGAATGAAGAAATGGAAAACAGAAATGAACTTATTTTGACACTGGGGCAGCATCCTAAGGAGACAGTGGTTTCTATAAGTTGGCAAGAGAAATTCTAGAGACTGCACAATACAGCAGTAAAGAGCCCATCTCAGATCTGACATCTCAAGAGACTGTCACCTTCAGCCAGATCTTTGAGGAATTCCTATTCTTGATTAGTTCTTCTTTACTAAGCATTTGGCTACACTCTAGCACTGTAATTATTACTTTATATAACTTAACACATGATCACAACTATAAGATAGACCCGTGTTACAAAAGAAGGAACTTGGATTCAGAGAACCAAGGAATTTGCTCAAAGTCACACAGCTACTATGTTAAGTTGAACTCATACAAGTCTGATTACAAAAAATTTTCTCCGGAACTTTTATACTGTACATTATATTTCCTTTAGCTAGTGACAATACTGGTGTTATTAAGAAGTGAGAAATCACGTCTAGGGTATTCCCAAGTATCTTATGCAGTGCTAAACTATTAAACAAAAGGTTTCTTTAAGAATTTTCTATCTCCCTTCCCCTTCAGCAGTATAATCCCTACCAGGGAATAAAGGAACTAGCAAGGACAGGCATGTTTTTGTGTATGTGTGTGTGTGCGGGGGGGGGGGGGGATACCAGGGGTTGAACTCAGGAGCACTCAACCCCTGAGCCACATCCCCAGCCCTATTTTGTATTTTATTTACAGACAAGGTCTCGATGAGTTGCTAAGCACCTCTTTAAATTGCTAAGGCTGGCTTTGAACTCGTGATCCTCCTGTCTCAGCCTTCAGAGCCAACGGGATTACAGGCGTTCACCACTATGGCCGGCTGCAAGGATGTCCCACTTCATTCATTAACGAATGATGATAAAGAATCAAATAGATATATGCCACATTTTCTTAATCCATTCATCTACTGAAAGGCATCTAGATTGCCTCCATAGTTTAGCTATTGTGAATTTTGCTGCTATAAACATTGATGTGGCTGTGTCCCTGTAACATGCTGTTTTTAAGTATTTGAGTATAGACCAGGGAGAGGAGTTGATGGGTCAAATGGTGGTTCCGTTCCCAGATTTCCAAGGAATCTCCATACTGCTTTCCATATTGGCTGCACCAATTTGCAGTCCCACCAGCAATGTATGAGTGTACCTTTTTCCCCACATCCTTGCCAACACTTACTGTTGTTTGTCTTCCTAATAGCTGCCATTGTAATAGGAGTGAGATGCTATCTTAGAGTAGTTTTGATTTGCATTTCTCTAATTGCTAGAGATGATGAACATTTTTTCATATATTTGTTGATTGATTGTATATTCTCTTCTATGAAGTGTTCAGGTCCTTGGCCCATTTATTTATTAGGTTATTTGTTTTTCTTGGTTGGAATTTTACTCAGCAATAAAAGAGAATAAAATCATGGCATTTGCAGGTAAATGGATGATGCTGGAGAAGATAATGCTAAGTGAAGTTAGCCAATCCCCCAAAAACAAATGCTGAATGTTTTTTCTGATAAAAGGAGGCTGATTCATAGTGGTGCAGGGAGGGGGAGCATGAGAAGAATAGATGAACTCTAGATAGGACAGAAGGGTGGGAGGGAAAGGGAAGAGGCAGTGGGTTAGCAAGGATGATTGAATGTGATAGACATCATTATCTAAAGTACATGTATGAAGACATGAATTGGTGTCAACATACAACCAGAGATAGGAAAAATTGTGCTGTATTATGTGTAATAAGAATTGTAGGGCATTCGCTGTCATTTAATTTTTAAAAAAGAAAAAAAAATAGAAAACAACTAGCCCACTCCTCAATCCCTTCCATTGATCCAACTTACTCCATGGATTCGATGATTTTTTTTGGCTCCACAGAGCACGGATAGATGACTTCGTCGATGTGCTTTAGGTTGCAGTTGGAATAGGCAGTAGAGATGTGTATGAAGGCTTCAAGCTTTGGCATCTGACTGGCGATATGTAAGAGCTGCTGGGTGGCAGTGACGTTAAGTTGCACAGCATGTCTGGAAAAGATTAAGCAGCAGGACACATGATGAGTGACACAGCATCCCCCTGTTGTGATGGTGCCTACTCCAATAACTAGCATATCAACAAGGCAGCCGTGGAGGACAAGGAGGGAAAGGATGGGTCATGGCTGCAAGCTGAAGACACTAGTTGGTCCTGCTAATGCTGTGATTTGTGCACCTGAGTCCTGCTCCTTGAAGCACGAAACATGTTGTTCTTAGGGGTTACTTGGTTCTAATCAACCAGAAGGAAGATCATGATCCTCTGAATTCATAAACGGGCTTTTACAAGCAGCCATTAAAAGAACAAAAGTACATAAATTAAGGTCTAATTCAAAAGGTTAGAAATTACAAATAAACTGTGGATTTTTAAATGAATAATGTAAGTTGCTATTGTAAAGATCCAGGTCAGACATGAAAATTGATGTCAAAACCATAAATTGTAGCTAATAGAACACAAAGCTCTATAAACACAGTATGTGGTGATAGTGACATAGTCACTATCATAAAAATAAAAAATCACTATCAGCAGCACATGGTTTATCTAATATCAGGAAACCTATTACTCTAATTTAACTCAAAGAGAAAACAACTATATAATCATTTATATATATTCTGAAAAGTCTTAAAATGACATTTAATATCTATTATCTAATTTAAAAAGTTTACTAAAATGGAAATAAAATGATTAAACAATGTACATCTCGGTTTGCTGGTCAGTGTCCTGCTTAATGGTGAACAGGTGGGAACACTGCTTTAAGGGCTAGGAAGGATGTCTATAATCACTCCTCGTACTTGATATTGTTGTGAAATCCCAGCCTTGTAGTTAGAGAGGAAGATAAAATCAATGAACAGATGTAAAGTTTTGAAAAGGCAGTCATAAAAAATCACTATCAGATTATATGATGGCATATTTGGAAAACAAACAAATAGAGCTTTTTTAGAAGATAATTCAATAAAATGTCCCTTTATAAAAATTATATTAAAAAATCACTAGCTTTCCTATATATGAACAAAAATTAGAGACAACAATGTAAGAAAGGGACACATTCAAACTAGATATTTTTTATTAAATCAAGTTAATCAGAAATGGATATATAAAGAAAATGTTAATATATCATTAATGGGAGTGGTTGCCAAACTCCTGTAATCCCAGTGATTTGGAGGCTGAGTCAGGAGGATAGCAAGTGTGAGGTTAGTCTGGGAAACTCAAAATAAAATAAAAAGGGCTGGGGATGTAGCTCTGTGGTAGAGGGTCCCTGGGTTCAATCCCCAGTGCCACAAAACAAAACACAAAACTTAATTAATGAAGTAAATGAAAAGACTCTGTTAAATAGGTGTTCTAAATTAATCTACATAGTCAAGTTAGTGCTAATTAAACTCCCCAAAATTTTTTAAAACCTTGTAGAAATTATTCTAAATGTCAACATGAAGTACAATCAATTGAAAATAGTCAGAAAATTCGATTTAAAAAGCTGTGCTCTGGGGGGCTGGGGATGTGGCTCAAGCTGTAGCCCGCTCACCTAGCATGCACAGGGCGCTGGGTTCTATCCTTGCACCACATAAAAAAAATAAAATAAAGATGTTGTGTCTGCCGAGAACTAAAAAATAAATATTGAAAAATTCTCTCTCTCTCTCTCTCTCTCTCTCTCTCTCTCTCTGAATAAAGTCTATCTTTAAAAAAAAAGCTGTGCTCTGGGATACTTGCCCTAATATAATAAACATTACAGTAATTAAAACTGTGTGGTATTGGCAAAGAAAGCCTAAGAAAGAGTCTAAGAAAATGAGCACAAGAGTTTCATTTCGATAGAATGTAAATAAATAATTTAATAAATATTGTTTAAGAGCTAACCATCTGGAAGAAAAAAAATAGCAACTCCACCTTCACATCTACATCATTTTTCCATTTGTAGATTTTTTCTATTACTGTATATAGTTAAATTTTAAATGGATCTAATGTCTAAATGCAAAAATAAAACTAAAAATACAATAGAAGAAATTATAAAAATTGTACAAATAATAAAGATTTAAAAGACAAATGAAAAATTGCTAAAATATTATACTGAATTTTCCAAGAAACCTCAAAATTAAAAAGAAAAATGTTTCAGTAGAAAGCAGGAAAAAGAACATGACTAGGCATGTCACAAAAGAATAAAATGTCAATAAGCCTATAAAAATTGTCGAACTTTCCAATCATCAAAGAAATAAAAATCAAAACATACAATACCATATCTACTATCATAGTTGCAACATTAAAAAAAATTAAGAAATCATATCTTATTTTGAGTATAAGAAACAAGCATTCATGTACACAGGAACAATGTTAAGTTTACCTTTTGAAGAGGAATTAGTGTTATAGGTAAAAATGTAAACTTTTCATAACCTGGAGACATCTAATATGTATCTGAAAATTCTACTTCTATAAATTTACTCCATAGAGAGTAAACAAAGAGTTAAAAATAATCTATAGACAAATATACATACTTATAAACAAAGATGTTCACTGCAGAGTTGTTTATAATAATGAAAAATTAGAACAATTAGTTCATCAATACAGAACTGGTTGAGTATATTACATATACATACAATGGAATGTCATAATCATTACAAATTGTAACAACTTTTTTTGTGGTACTGGGAATTGAACCTAGAGGCAATTTACCATTGAGATACACCTCCAGTCAAGGTCTCCCTAAATTGCCAGGTTGACCTTAAACTTGCAATACTCCTGCCTCAGTCTCCCAACTATAGAATATTTATTGAAAATGAAAGACATCCAAATTATAAGTAAATAGATTGCAAAATATCATTCTCAATAGGATTCCATAGTTTTGTAAAGTTAAACATCATATAATAATAGACGTAAAAAGAAAAGTTGGACTGTATGTTCTCTACAATAGGTGGTTGTCTCTGGATGATGGGATTTTGGAGATTTGCTTCTTTGTGTATATAAATTTTTCATCGAACAGCTGGGTTTTTTGTTAGTTTTTTAAATATTTCTTACAGAAACCATAAAGAAACTTACATGCACATGTGTACATGCACACACACTTGCAAGCCAGGTGGGGGAAATGGGAAGGTACCTCAGTGGGTCGTCAAAGCGTACAGTGGCCGCGCAGTGGAAGATGATATTGACAGAGCACAGGAGTTCCTGCAGGTCCTCTTTGCTGATGGCTAAGTCCTTCTGATTGAGATCTGCATAAATAGGTTTAATCTTCTCATGCACTTTTGGACAAACTTCTTTGACTTTCTCAAATAGCTGAAACATAAACATAAATCAATAGACAAAGATCATCATCATCACATCATTCTTGTTTGCACTGACTTGTTTTATTATAGTTCTCAAAAACTGGTTTTGGTCATAATGTTAACATCACCCAAGGAAGGTGTCTCAAGAGCCATCTGTTTTACTTCATGCAGTTCAGTTTAGTAAATTCCTGCTTCTCTTGAGAAATATTTGAAAAGGTCAGTTCCATTACCAAGAAGGTGTGTACTTTGAGCTCTTCCTGGGGTGGAAGGAGTGACAGTAAACAGTTATTATCCATGTTCTGCCTTGATCGTTCCCATTTCTGGCAGCTTCAGTTTACATGTGGTAAAACTTTTAACTTTGGCTGGAAAAAATAATTGTTTTCAGTGTAAAAATTACCAGCCTGTATCACAGCCTTTACAAATTACTAGTATAATTACCCAGGACTTGGTTAACTGGCTCAGATTAACAAGATGTCTTAGCAGCACAAACATGATTAGAAAATAAGAAATCCACCAAATTTGTAATGAGTGAAACAAAAAATCTTATGTAATCTTTTTCTAATATAAATGGCAGCTAATGTCTAGTAAGAGAATTATAGGAGCTCAGGTACTTTGTGGGGGATTTTAACAAATTTTTTTTAAAAAATATTCTAGTTTCTTTATAAAGGGAAAAAAGTAGTAATTTTGGCTTTTATTATAGTTATCGAAATGGAACAGATTCTCTTCTTTCCCTTCTACACAGATTCTTAGATTAAACTGGTATTTTCCACTTTCTCAGAAACACAATTTTAATAAAAATGATCTTTCTTCTGACCTATTTTGATAAAATGGAATTTTACTATAGTATCTGTATGGCTAAATGTTTAGAACAGTTAAGAGTTGAGAAATTGGTCAGTGGTTTTTAAACAATGTAGTAGTAACAGACACAGTCGTCTTCTCCCCTTTAACTCCCAACCTATGCTTTCATCTTGGTATCAGGCTTCTCCCCTCCATTACAGATCTATCCCCAGGATGGGTAATAAAAAATTGAATCAGGTCCTTAAAGAAATCACGTCTCATTTGTCTCAGGCAAAAGCAGGTTCAGAGACCATCCTGGGAACTCAGTGAGGATGACTAGGGAAAGGAGTCAAATCTATATGCTGCCCTGGCTTGTTAACACACTTCTGTCTCTGAGCTAACATTTTTCTACACTGTAGAGTCAGCCCTTTGGTGTTACTGCAATTCTGAAAATAATTTAAAAGTTAGGTCAATCCTCAGTGGGGTTTTTTGACATCCGGAATTGATAAGATTATTCAAGTATCCTAGGCACAATTTCAACAAAGACATCATTCTGGCTCTTCCAGAAAGATCTTTAATGGTCAAATGTTGACTGTACGAAAAACACATGTTGGATATTTTTGGATAAGTGCATGTGAAATTTGCACAATTTCTCTTTTTTGAAAAATTTATAGAAACTCCTTTTGAGCCGATGTCATAGATTTTATTCACTGGACATTTGTTTAAGGTTCTGTGAACTCCTTCAACTTTGGCTTGTGATGAATCCCTGCACTGGAGAAGGATCAGGAACTGGGTGAGGGGTGGAGGTATCATATTTCTATAATGCTTTTGAAACAATGTAGAGACCTTGAACTTGGATTCTTAGTCAAATAGTTATCCACATGACCTCACTCAGGAAGAATCACAGGCATCTACTTTCTGGGGATGATTGAAGGTAATTATTCATTTTCTAATCATGAAAGTTTTTCATTTTACTGAATCCCAATCTTCAAATGTAACTATACTATTTAGTCCTAAAACACACCAAAAACTTGCTTGATATTTTTATTTTGTGAAAAAAGGATAAGATATTTTCAATTTAAAGCAATCTCCGTGGAATATCTGGTGTTGCAAAGTGAAAGAGACTGTAACAGAATTTTTAATGTGCCAAGCACCCAGCAAGCAAATCAATGGATTCTGTAAATTGGCTCTAATCTGAGAACAATTAAACACAAATAAGTACATGTACATTAAAGCAAAACCCCATTATGCTTAGTGTACAGCAAAATTTCAAAATGTTGGGATTGTGCTAGTTTGCTATTAATTCCCATAAAATGTAAAGGATTAATCTGGAAGTTTTTATTGCTTCAGTGAGGACCATTTCTATAAGACCATAAAGCAGCATGATGTAGTAGTGTTATTGGACTTTTCTTTGCAGGTGTTTAGTTCAAAGTGATTTTTTTTTTTAGTTCAAAGTTAATTTGTTTAAATGAATTGGTGTACCTCTTAGGGATTAATTTTATGTCTTTTAGGAACTGCTTAACAGTGATAACCTTGAAAGGACTCAAACCATTTCATAAAATGTTATCTTCGATGGTCTGAAACTGAATCATGTTCTGTGAATGGAGGTCACAGTGTGTAACTCTGCACAAGTCATTGTCCGAAGCTCCCCACTGTATTTCATAGCTGATTTACTTCAGGGGAAACCAAGGGCTTATTGAGCAATTCACATTTTTCCAGAAAAGATGATGTGAAGAGTCCAGTGCAACCTGCCAAGCTTTGCCTGCTTATATAAATCCACTTCCTGGTGACATCATTCAAAAAACTCCTCCTCTTCTCCCAAACCTTGAATTTTGTCTGGCATTCTCAGAATTTGCACTGCAAACATGGTACAATATAGTTGTAGACCTTCCCTTATCTAAAGACTATAGCTTAATGGGAAAGCCCAACTATCTCTGATATTCTCTCAATGAAAACTCACAATCATTCTTAATTAACTATTAAGAGTGAGGTAGTTAATTAAGAGAGAAGTTTTATTTTCCAGGTATGGATATTGTCTTCTTGATGTTATCTCAAGGAATTACTCAGAGTAGATTATTAGTGATTTAAGTGATTTATCCTAAATGAATAAATATGGGCCATCAATGTTGTAAAAAGAAACACCATTAAGGCACTAAAAATCCTCAGAATGCTCTCAGAATTTCTTTGGACTTCACAGCTGAATGATTTATTTATAATTTATTATCTGTTACAGTGGCAAAGAGCCACTGGGTCTTTTGAAGTCAAGCCATATTGAAGATAGCAATATAGAAAAATCATCAATGTTACCTAGATTTGTTTTTCTTTAAATATTTATTTTTAGTTGTAGTTGGACACATACATTTATTTTATTTATTTATTTTTATGTGGTACTTAGGATCAAACCTAGTGCCTCGAACGTGCTAGGAGAGTGCTCTACCACTGAGCCACAACCCCAGCCCCCTAGATTTGTTTTTGATACAATGGAAAGCTGATTGGCTTATAATTAAGTGAGAACATTTTTCATAACTAAGACACTAAGCAGCCAGTACCTACAAACCCTGAGTACCTACAAATCGAAGAGCACTGGTCTGTGGTGAGTGAGCATGTTCACAAGAAAACACATGAAATCTGCCATGGTTTCCTTAGAAGCTCTTTAGATTTTTTAAAAAATACTTTTATTAGTTGCTGATGAACCTTTATTTTATTTATTAACTTACATGCAGTGCTGAGAATCGAACCCAGTGCCTCATCCGTGCTAGGTAAGAGCTCTACCACTGAACCACAACCCTAGCCTAGAAGCTCTTTAGATTTTGTGAAATATTAGAAGATAATTGGAAGATATTAGAAGATAACTGGAAGATATTAGAAGATAATTGGAGGATATTAGAAGATAATTAGAAGACAAATGCGAGGAATCAAATTTCTAATAAAGTCAAATATTTAGCTCTGATAAACAATTTGAAACTAAAAATGAACTGAACTTACTGGCTGTCATAATTTTGAAAAATTCATGACAGCTTTGTTGCCTTATTTACTTGATTTTAAAAAAGATAGGTGTTTCATTTTCCCCAACATAACAGTATAATATGTTCATAGTAATTGTATTTGGAAAACTGGAAGTAGATTACTGTTTTTATTTTTTCACTATTAAAGAGGGTTCTTTTTCCCTTACCATAAAAGTAATATGCTTATTATAATTGTAATTTGAAAATGCCAAAATATAAAATTAATCCAAGATTAATCTGAGCATTTAGGGTCATTAGTTGAGATTATAGTGAATATGGATATGCATCCTTTTTTGCACTGAACATATTGCAAGCATTTCCTCATGCCATTTACTATTTTATAAAACACGATTTTCAATCCAGGCCTACTAATCCAACACATGTATGTATTGTTGTTTGTTTAATCATTCCTCTGTTATAGAACATTCAGATTGGCTCCAGTTTTTGTTATTATAAATAATACTGAAATAAATATATTTGTATATTATTTGTGTGTTTCTGGTTGTTTTGTTAGAGTGCCACCTTAATTATCTTTGATAAAGTCCTCAAGAATTTATCATTAATTCAGATACTTCTCCCTCTACTGATGTCTCTTTAAGTGCTCAGAAAATACTTCAGAAACAGTCATAAGTATGAAAATGAATCCTCTTTTATGATTCTTGAGTCTCACTTCTGTGTGGCAAATGGATTTTTTTAAAGTTTCTTTCCAAAGTATCTCATTCTTAATTGTCTCTCTTTGAAAGCAAGGAAACAGGAAGTGAGAGGAGGTAGCTATGTATACCATGAAAGGAAAAGAATGAAGCAGATGTATGAATTTTGATAAATAGAACAGATGTCTTCTTGATCATATTTCCTGAGGACAAATTGGTAACATTTTTGTTTATTATGTTTGAAAGAAAAATTTGCAAGCCTCCTATGCCTGACAACAGTAGGTCTACCTACCTTTAGGAGCATTAGTGTACTTATGTTGAGTTAGAATTCACTCATTACTATGGATGACTGGGGAGAAATATTTTTTGAAAGCTATACTAAGGGGGCTGGGACATGTGTGTGGCTCAGTAGTAGAGCATTTGCCTACCATGTACAAGGCTTGGGTTCAATCTAGCACCATGGGAGAAAAAGAAAGCACTACTCCAAGGACCTACTTAGAAATAAGTTATACTCAAATCACTGTGTTCATGTCAAAATAGTCAGTTAAAAGGCATTTTATCTAAACCAGGCCTTAATT